CTACTGGCCTGGAGAAACAACATCAGTTATCCTAATATGATAACTTTTGGTTTTAAATGCAGATGATAATTCATACTGCAGGCCAACTGGCAGCATTTCCTATGATTTAAAGAACAAAGTACATTTCATTATTTTTTTCCCAACTGGTTGACTGGATTCCCCCATACATACCCTTTGCCCTTGTCTGTCCGAGACTCGATGACGGTGGCCTCCACAGGGCCGGTGTTGTCACCTTTGACCTCCATGACCTCTGCCTGGGTCACTATGGCCTCTGCCAGCTCAGTCAAGCCTTCCCCCTACACATTTGACAAGTAAAAATAACTTATGAATACAAACATGTCAACTCTCATAATTCCACTAGGTACCCTAAGACTGACACTTTGAACACCTGGATATCTGTGCATGTTTCTGGGATTACTACATTGTATGCTGGTGTCATGAAAAAATGTGAGCTGCAATTTTCTATTTACCCTTTACCAAAATTATTGAGTAAAGAAAATACAAAATGTATTACAACCCGTACTTACCTTAAGAGCAGAAATATTGACTGATTGTATGTCCCCACCAAACTCCTCTAACTCCATCCCATGGCTTAGTAATTCTCTCATGACAACCTCCTGTAATACAATACAGTTAACATTGCTCAACACATGTATGCAGAACAAAGGGTACTACATGTACAAAAGGCCAGTTAGAATCACACCCACCCCTATAAAAGCAACTTACAGGGTCGGAATTCTTCTTGTCACACTTGTTGATGGCAACAATGATAGGAACTGTGAAAATAGAAATGAAACAATATGGTTGTTATTCACACTTCAGTGTTCATTACTCAGTCTACAATATATTAAACTCCACAAATCTGTCACATACAATATACTACCCCTATATTAGTTCTCACTTACAAGCTTAATACAGCTTAATACATGTACAACAGACGAAAAGGACATCTCAATGTACAACAGACAAAAAGGACATCTCAATGTACAACAGACAAAAAGGACACCTCAATGATGCACAAACATGACCAACTACAAAATATGGCTGAAACCCATGTTTACCATCAGCGGCCTGGGCATGTTTGATTGACTCCAGAGTCTGTTCCATGACCCCGTCGTCAGCGGCAACCACCAGGACCACAATGTCCGTCACGAGGGCGCCGCGTGCTCGAAGCGCCGAGAAGGCAGCGTGTCCGGGGGTGTCCAGGAATGTGATTCTCTCTGCTGTGGGCAGCTTAACTGTAAGAAGGAACAAAATGTTTGTGTCAGATGTTAACAAAAGAAGACAACTAGGTTGTTGAGCTTGAGTTTGTATGAGCTGCGTAAGACCGGACTGTAAGGTTTGGACCACTCACACCGGGAAGGTCTCCTACTCTTTTTGATAAGTGCGGTGGGTTCTTAAACGTGCGTGGGGTGTAACTCTCCCCAATATATAACACGGGACCTCCATTTAACGTCCTGTCTGAGGGACGTCCCTAACCAATGCGAGGTACTCAGTTCCACCTGAGTGAAGTAAGGAAAGCTGCGTTAAGTGCCTTTCCCAAGGGCATAAGATCGGTGACAGGATTTGAACCTGGGACCTCTTGGATCTGAGCCAAACACGCTACCGTTTATGCCACATGACCCAACAATAAGTTATAATAGAGAGAGAGAGACACACACACACAGAGAAAGAGTTTTTTTAATCTATCAGTGTGGTACCTGAAAAGGCCCCTATATGTTGTGTGATGCCTCCAGCCTCGCCGGCTACTATGTGAGACTTCCTCAGGCTGTCCAGTAGGGTGGTCTTGCCGTGGTCAACGTGACCCATGATGGTCACTACGGGTGGACGTCTGACCAGTACGGAGGGGTCAGGTGGAGGTCTGTGCAGGGACATTTGCAAAGCCATTAGTCACAACAGTGAGTATGAAATGCAATTAAACCAAGAATCAATACAGACTTTGTAAGTCAAAAGTACTACTTGACACTTCTGTAGCAGTTACAATGATCTCTGTGCAATTCTACCTTCTAACTGCATCCTTGATCTCTTTCTTCTTTTCCTCATGTTCCTTCATCGGTACTGCCACCATCCCTGACATCTTCACAACCTGCCTGATGGTTGCTGCATCAAGAACTATACGTAACGGAAAAAATTTATGTTTGAAGACTGTAGATTAAATTACTTATATTTGTGGCACATTCACAGGGAAAACCAAGAGTTTGCAGTATCTTTAAATTTTGTGGTAAAAAAAACAGCAAAAATATCAAAGTGTACAAACTTATTTTCTCACTCCACATGCACATGTTACGAAAACTGCAAAATGACAAAGGAGTATCATATCACTAAATCATTGCTGAGTACAACCTAAAATATGTAAAACAGTATTTAACTTCCTCTATGCTTAGGAAGCATTGGTAATACAGGCAAATTTGTAATGTTTGTGGCAGATGTCAGGTGGGTTATAAGTAGTCTAAGAATGTAATAATACTATGCTCACCTGTTCTGGACTGCAGGTCATTTATGTCATCTCTGTCCAACAGACACTCATAGACGTGATCTGATATAAAGGTGGGACAAAAGATATGTTATTATTCCTAATGAACCAAGATACAAAATGTACATTGAAAAGAGATATGGTGTTGTAAGATATAAGAAAGTTATACATCATCATCATCATCCTTGCCCAGTTACAATGTAGTGCTGCATGTCGATTTAGTCACAATCTTGTCAATGACATTTACTGGCTCTTTTGTTAAAAAGAGTAGACTCTGAATGATGTAAACTTTATCTTGTTGATATATTTTGTCTGACCCTTATGTCTTCCCTCATGACCTCAATGAAAAGCAGCTTGCATATATAAAAAATGATTCAAACAGATTTAAACAAACCAGTTTTTTACATTCTAATGTGAGACCTGACCTTCAGTTTTCCCCATGGCCCGTGCCAGCTCCCTGACGGTCATGTGACTTCTGGTCGGCACCTGCTGCTTACGAACCTTCTTATCAGCTGAGCGAACCTGAACACGTTCAGCCCTGGCCTGGGGGATGATGGGTAATACATTGTATAACTAGAAAGGCCAATATTTGCTTTGGAGCAAATACAGCGATGGGTTCACCACATTTTACGACATGGCAGGGAAAGAATGAGAAACACAAGGGAAAACAATGATTTACATTGATATAACTATAATATGAAGTAAAATACAACTAAAACAACAGTTGGATAGCTATTCCCTACTTTATTGGTTAGGATTTTTAATTGCATAATGCAAACTGTTGATTTTCAAAATAAAAAAAAACGTCCATGCCCCGCATTCCAATGCTGGAGCAGGAAAGCTTAAAATACCTACCAAAACACTTGAATACAGACATACTGTCAGTATGGAAATGCTCTGTGCAGGTGTTAATCAAGTTAAATCCTAACAGCCAATCAGCAAGAAATGCTCTGTGCAGGTGGAAATGCTCTGTGCAGGTGTTAATCAAGTTAAATCCCAACAGCCAATCAGCAAGAAGAATAGAGGAAAGCTGCATGCCTATTGGTTGATGCCCTGCATTCCATTGTGATGACTCATGCCCAAACGTGGTAAACAAGGCACACTAACACAGTAATACATTTGCTATAACACAGCCAAAAAACTCAAATAAAACCATTCTAAAAGCCTGTATCACAAAAATTTAAAAAACGCCTAGGGGTATTTGCCCACTGTACCTCCATACCAAATTTCAGGACCTTGGGCCCTAAAATGAAGAAGCTGAATCCATTTAAAAAATGGCAGGAGAAGAAGGAGGAGAAGAAGAAGAAGAAACATCAGAAAAAGCAATATGGTTTCACCACACCACTTCGTGGTGTGGTGAACCCATAATTAGGTGAAATGAAAATATTGAAAAATTGCTTAATTGTATATTGTGTAATTTTGCTTGATATCAATTATATGCAGTCTTAGTCTTAGTCTTATAGATACTGGATCAAAACCCTCTCTGGGGCATACCTATAGTAAAACAACAACAAATATCAACAACAACAAAAAACAGTACACATGTTTCCCACCTTTTTAGCATATCCCCTTGCACAGTGTATTCTTGGAAAATGACTTCTGTAAGACCCAAGTGAGTATCCATAGCCAAGTAGTCTAAGCAATGAGCTACAACTACAAGGTGTTCTCCTTAAGATGGCACCAGATTTTTCCATGGAATCTTCTAATTTCTTCACATGTGGAAATCCTTGGAAACATGTAGATAAAGTTCTTGTGGCAAGTTGTTGTCTGAGACATAGGCCAGCTATCCTCAGCGCTAGGGTTGAACGGAATGCTGACATCTTGTTGGTCTTTCTGGTGCTTTTTTTCTGTGATTTCGTCAATTTTTCACTGTGGCAGAAAATAAATGACATAC